GGCTGTGCTGCTGGAAAGGGAACAAGGTCCTCCAGCCCCCGAAACTCTTTTTGCCTCTGTTGCGCTCTGGCCTGCCCAGGCTCATGGCGTTTCCCAGGGACTCGCCTACAATTGATCTTTGCTAAAGGCCGAGAGGCAATCAAGGTGAGTCTTCCCGTACTGCAGAGGTGCCCGTTTTGAGAGGACCGGGACTCCAGGGAGCCCCACCTGGGCGCTGTTTCTCCAAGCTGGCCCTGGCTGTTGTCACCTCAGGTGGGAGAGAAGCCACAGGTGCTCCAGGCAGCTTGGAGATTAGAGGCTCCCAAGAGGAAGGAGGCCAGGACAGAGGCCCAAGTCTGGCAGCTCTCAGGTAACAGCGCCTGGGCCATCCCTGCAGGTGTCAAAACACTTCCTGTTAGTTACTGAATATTCGTCAATCCTTCCGGGCTTTCCCACAGAAATCTCTGGCTGGGACAACATATTCCAGTTGCTGCTGAGGAAGCAGTTGCAGGACTTCAGGTCTGGATGTAAAAGAGGAGGACTGGCTGTATGGCTGTATCCTAAAGCAACAGGCGGAGGGGCTGGCCTTGACAGCGGAGGGCTGTACTTTTTGTTTGCAGGCAAATACGCAGGACAAGAGCACTTAGGAGGACAGCGTGTGGCTTGGGCCCTAGAGGCCGTATTGACCCAGATTACTGGCAGCCCAGGCACTGTCCACAGGGAAAACCCTTTAGCTTCTAGTGGGGGATCCCTAGATCCCAGAATTCGCCATCCCTTCTGCCTCTGGGCCTTGGGAAGACGTGCCTGCCTCACCACCAGCAAAGCTGGCAGTGTCACCTCCTGACACCCCCTGCTCCCTCCCTGGTCTGTAAGGGGTCTGCAGACAGCACAGAGAGCTGGGGCACTCACTGGCGAGGCTCGGGTGCTGGAGCCCACAGCGTCAGTGATGCGGGCCCCTGATCTTCCAGCCACGGAGGTGGGAGTGGGACAGAGGAAGGTAGCCATGCCCTGAGTGGCTTCCACAGGTGTCCCCAAGGAAGGAGGACTGGAAATGTCCTCTGGGGCTCCTGTGGAAGTTGAGAGAACTTGTGAGGGAAGTTGTAGAAGCTGGAACATGTCTTTCGTGTGTGTGTGTGTGTGTGTGTGTGTGTGTGTGTGTATGTATGTGACAGTCTTACTCTGTTGCTTAGGTTGGAGTGTAGAGGGGTGATCACAGTTCACTGCAGCCTTGGCCTCTGGGGCACAAGCAATCCTCCTACCTCAGCCTCCCCCTGAGTAGCTTGGACTACAAGTGGGCACCATCATGCCCAGCTAATTTTTTATTTTTTGTAAAGATGGGGGTCTTGATAAGTTGCCTTGGCTGGTCTCGAACTCCTGGGCTCAAGTGATCTGCCCACCTCGGCTTCCCAAACTGTTGGGATTACAGGTGTGGCCACCGTGCCCAGCCAGGAACATGTCTAAAAGGGGATTTCTCACCTGGGCAATGTCACTGTGTTGGCTACTCACACACTCGAGAGGTTGCTGCTGGAGGGCTACCTGGAACAAAGGTCCCAGAACTCAAACACCCACAGAAAGACCAGGTGCCACTGGCTACCTCCCCAGTGGGTCTTCCTCTGGTGTCTGCGGACCCATGTGCACAGGGCATCCCTGCTCCCAATTTCCCTGAGCAGGGTGTCCCCAGTCCACTGATGTTACTGGCCCAAGAGGATATGTCCCCACCTCCCCCTAACAGGGGCAGATGACAGGGAAAGCTGCACAGGGCTGTCATCCAACCAAGCGTGTGGTGAGAGTACCTCGGAATTATTTCACAGTTTCCTGCTGGTTTTAGGAGAAGAGATTCTAATCTAAATTATGTTCATAAATTCTAAATTATATTCATAATTCCACACTCATAGCTCCATGGGGCATAAGAAATGTAATTGTTAGTGGCTTCAGGTGAAAAGAAAACCCACAACCCTCCCACAAAGCACAGCACACCACAGATGTGAAATTTGATAACGGGCTGGGCGCGGTGGCTCAAGCCTGTAATTCCAGCACTTTGGGAGGCTGAGACGGGCAGATCACGAGGTCAGGAGATCGAGACCATCCTGGCTAACACGGTGAAACCCCATCTCTACTAAAAAATACAAAAAACTAGCCGGGCGAAGTGGCAGGCGCCTGTGGTCCCAGCTACTCGGGAGGCTGAGGCAGGAGAATGGCGTAAACCTGGGAGGCAGAGCTTGCAGTGAGCTGAGATCCGGCCACTGCACTCCAGCCTGGGCGACAGAGCGAGACTCCGTCTCAAAAAAAAAAAAAAAGAAATTTGATAACGCTCTTTCCTTCTCTCCGAGGTCTTGGCTCCCAGCTGACCATGGCATTCATTATGAGGCAGAAACTACCTGTCCTTCTAGCAGGCAGAAACTACCATCCATTCCAGACTTTGTGAGCAAGTCTAGAAAACAGAGTTGCTGAGATTCGTAAGGTGATCTGGCCAATTCTGCAAGATATGCAGAAACCTTCTAAATCTCCCCTAAACAGAGAGGGAGTTAGCAGCTATTTCTTCCACTAATAGCAGAAGATGGAGTCGAATTTATAGGACCCTAAGTCAGCTGAATTCAAAATTAATTTTTTTTGAGACAGAGTCTCGCTCTGTTGCCCAGGATTGGGGTACAGTCTGTGATCTTGGCTCAATGCCACCTCCGCCTCCCAGGTTCAAGCGATCCTCCTGCCTCAGCCTCCCGAGTAGCTGGGGTTATAGGCACCTGCCACCACACCCGGCAATTTTTGTATTTTTAGTAGAGATGGGGTTTCACCATATTGGCCAAGCTGGTCTTGAACTCCTGACCTCAGATGATCCACCCACCTCAGCCTCCCAAAGTGCTGGGATTATAGGTGTGAGCCCCCGCACCCGGCCGTTATTAATTTAATTCATAACATCTGACTTCCTAGCAGTCAGGTGTTTGAGCAGAGCTTCCTGACCTGGCTGAACTGGTCAGAATCACTTGGACAAAACTTACACAGCTAGTCCTGTCAGATTTGGTAGATCAGAGGGTGGAGGGAGCAGGAATCTGTATTTTTAGCAAGGCCTCCAGGGGATTCTGACACAGAGAAATCCAGAATTGAGTATCTGGCTGTCACATCTATCTGGAGGCAAACGCCTTTTCTTCACATTCTCCCTCTGCCTCAGCCTAAGTCCTAAAAAATAAAGGCAACAAGTAAATAAAGACAGTTTTCAAGATATTCATGGAATGACTTTTTTTTTTTTTTTTTACATTTTTTCAACTAGTTAGGACAAAAACATTACAACGATTGACTTCTTTCATTTAGTTACATAAATAAAATTTTTATAAATATCTCTTTATAAACAATATAAATAGCTTTACAACATAAATACATTTATGCATGACATGAATTTACAAACAGCAATGTTTTACAGCTGGTTCTGTCAGTCTCTTAAAAACTGTCCCTTGTCATCAAGTCGGTGTAGGTGTGTGTGTTTCATGTATATAATATATATATAATATATAACTTTTTATTTTTCATTAAAAAAAACAAATAATAAAATCACAACCCCCTCCCCAAATAATAATAAAACAGCTGGTGTTGTGTATTCCCAGTACCAGGAAAGAAAGAAAGAAAGAAAGAAAGAAAGAAAGAAAGAAAGAAATGTAAAAGCCACATTGCATTGGAGGTGTTTCCAGATGCCGGAGCTGATGACCAAAGGTGACCTCAGCACAACGGAGCCAGTTCCCAATCCTGAAACACAGAGTGAACACAGACACTCAGTTCTGGCCCCTTAGCTGAGAAATCCTAGCAGGCAGGGTGGTTCTAGAACCTTTCCTCCCCTTCCCCCAGCAGCTTGAGGGATGTCCCCTGACCTCCACACCCCCCAACCCACCAGGCCTTCCTGCAGAGGGGAGGGGCCTCCCCCTACACACTCCCCAGGCCCCTTCTGCTTTGCTGCCCCAGCACAGGTGGAACCAGAGTGTCTGCAGCCCTCCTTTTTCCCCCAGTCTAACCACAGGCCTTGCCCTTGGCACTCAGGGAGGCGCAGTGAGAGAAAGAGAATGGAAAATCCCCCATCCTTTTTGCTACAACACAAACCCTCAGTCAGTGCTCGCCCTGGGTTCGTGTGTCTGAGTGACTGTGGATGGAAGGAGAAGGGAGACATCTCAGGATCAGGAATCCTGGGCTCAAATCTCTACTCTGACATTGACTCCCTGGATGACCCTGAATAGCTGGGAGTGTTCACCCATAAAATCGGATAATAGCCACCTCCCAGGGCTGGCTTTTGGATTCAACAGGGAGCCTCGGATTGGGCATCGGCAGTGTCTGGGTCTCAGCCACCACCCAGTAAACAGCACCTCCTTCCTTAGCTGCTTGTGCAGAGGAAAGGGTGTGGGTCCAGGTCCCCTTCAGAAGCAGAGGAAATGGTGTCTCACACCAGCCTTGGGGAAATGCATAGTCATGGGCTCTGGGTTGAGCGTTGTCAGGGAAAACTCCCTGCTAATGGGTGTGTGGGTGCCCCGGGGCCCAAGGAAGGTGGCCTTCTGGGGCATTCAGTGCTCTCCCAAAGGACAGCATGCACAGAGGGGACCTGGGCCAGAATGGCTTGATGAACCCTCCCCCACTCCCTTCTCTGGCTCTGCCATGAGTTTACACAGATGACAGCTGTCTGTGATGTTGCTGGGCCCCAGGGGCGAAGTATTCATTCAGGTTTCACCCACAGCTGGTCTCTGTCATTAGCATTTTACAATCAACACCTAGAACCATCAGCGACCATCATTATGGTGGCTTAGAGCCCGAGTCACCCCCTGCGTGGAGAAACGGCCACAACCTCAAAGAGTTTTCATTAATGTGACAAATACAAGCTGTCTTTCCCTTTAACCGCAGTGATATATCCTGGGCATCACCACCAGGAGCCTGCAGGAAGGATGTTCTGCTCTCTCACTGGGAGTGGGGGGCAGTGAGGGTAGGGTTTTTATTTTTCATTTAAAAAACCCAAATAATAAATCCACAGCCCCCTTCCCAAATAATAATAAAACAGCTGGTGTTGGGCATAAGCCGGTGTTGAGGATGTTGATGATAAGTGTTCATCTATGCTAAGAGAGCTAGTAGGAGATTAATGAACCCCCCTGATCAAAGGGGTTGAGAATTCTTAGCAATGGGGATTCCTCCTACACAGCATCTTTCACTACCCGTCTGGTCATCACTTGGTGACCACAGACAGCCAGGCCCAAGAACAAGGCCCCTATGGGAATGCGCATTCCAGGTACGAACCCATGGAAGAGTCGCTAACATTTGTTCCGGTTCTAAAGTTTGAACTTGATGCTTAAATCAAACTGAAAATTTGAGGCCTCAGACTCCGTCTCTTTGTTGTTTAGACAGGAGAGAAGAGAGGAAAGGCATTCCAAGGGTAGCTACTGAAGGCTGGTCCCCAAGTGTCAGAATCATTTTTCTCCCTGTGCAGGGGAGAGTCAAGATCACAGACAACTGCAGCCTTTGCAGAACTGGGGAGAAGCCCACAGCCGAGGGAGGTCTGGCTGCAAAGAGAGGAAGGGCACTGGTTAAAACCTAGGGCAGGTGGGAGTGGCCATGGGCTAGGGTGTGCTGGTTTCTCTGGTCATTGACAAATATTTCTGAGTCTGTACGGGGTGCAGTGGGTCCTAGAGTGCCTTAGGCCAGCACTTGGCCCTTAAGCTGTTCAATACGGGGAGGTGAATGGGTTCACAAACTGTGAAAAAGTGTTCTGTACTGTGAAAAAGAGACAGTGTGCTGGAGAGGAGCTCTTGTTTCCCTCCGGGGGAAGACCCAACACTGACAAGGGTTTCTGGGGTGGAGACAGCAGCTTTCCCATGGCCTGGGATGGGACAGTCAAAGTGTGGGACAGGCAGTGGCAGCTGCTGAGCTGGAGGCAAGAAAGGGAGAAAGCCGAGTGAGCCTGATCCTAATGCACATGACTGTCAATGTCAGAGGCTGGGATGCTGTTATTCAGTGGGCACAGGCAGGCGGCAGGAATAGAGAGGAGGGAAAGAGGAGAGGTGGGGCTCTCTGCAGCAGTAAATTACCACCATGCGGCACCCGGCAGAGGGTGACGGTAGGGCAGAGGTTTCCAGCCCTAGTGCGGGGTGAGATCCCACACCAGAAACGGAGCCCAGAGCACCGGTTGGGCGGGGGACAGGGTTGGTGAGGGACTCCGGGACATGTCGAGTTTGAGGGTGGGGCAAAAAATATTTACTTTAGTATCTTTCCTATTCCCTGAAATAGTGCCACAAGCACTGAGATTCACCCCTGAAGCCACCGGGCTGCAGCTCCCCGGACAGACCAGTTTGCCCACTGCCTGGGTTTAGAGAAGGGACAGGACCCTGGATAGACCAGTTTGCCCACTGCCTGGGTTTAGAGAAGGGACAGGAATCGGAGTGCCCCAGGCAGAAGGGCGCCCTGACGGTGCCAACAGAGGGCTACTCTCGCTTCAGGGGGCATGGTGGCCGGCAGATGATCAATGTCCCTTGGACTTGTGGGTGTAACCTTCCTTCTCTGCTCCCACAAACCCGTGATCTCCCCTCAATTCCCCCACCAGCTGGCCAGCTGGGGCCAATGCTGCTAGTTCAGCTAAGGTGCAGGGGTGGGTGAGACGCCACCAAGCCTGTTTCTGCTTCTCTAGAAGAAGCCTGGTGGGTTCAACCAGGCTGAGCCATTTCTGACCTTGCCAAAGTTCCCCGATCACTTTATCCTTCGCTTTCTTTGTCTGTAAAGGGGGATAATAAAGGGGGTGACCGGCAAACGCCTGGCACAACTTGAGCAAAGCCGGGCCAGGCTGGGGCTGGGCGCGGGGTCGGCGGTACTCACCGCCGCCAGGGGGCGCCGCACTAACATCCCAGGCCGCTCATGGAGCCGATTCGGTCCAGCTTGAGGCCGAAGCAGCCCTTGGACAAGCCCTTCTTGTTGGCTCCTTTGTATTTGCGCGCGTTGGGGTGCTCGTGCAGAAGGCGGGCCCACGCTGCCCGTGACTTGGTGTCCACGCGCAGGTCCCGGAGCAGTCGCGATCGGTCGCCCTTGAGGTTGGCGCCCCCGCCCCCGGGAGCCTTGTCGCCCTTCTTCTGACCGCCGCCCGCAGCCTGCGGCTCGGCCAGCTCCTCTCCCGGCGGGGTTCGCGGGACCTGTCCGAAGAAAGAGCGGGCAGGTGAAGGGACACGCGGCTGCAGCACGGGGGACTTTGATGCTCCAGCCCCACACGCCCGCCGGCGCGGGGTGTCCCTCCTGAGCCTAGAGCCGCCCCCACCGATGCCGGCCAGCTTGGCCCCGCATCCACCTGCCACGCGGCCGCCTTCTCCGCTCCCTCCGGAAGCCCCCTGCCCTCCCCTCCTTTGCTGCTCGCCCGGCAGGCCACGCTGGGGCAGGGGGCTGCGCATGGGCCGGCGTTCTCCGGAGGCTGGGGGAGTTGACCCCCGAGTCCGCGCTTCCAGGGCTCCCCGGGTCTCGCCCACGCGCATCTCGGAGGAGAGAGCCGCCTGCCTTCCCTCTCTCCTGGGTCCTGCGCGCCGCATTCTCCAAGCCCCCAGCCTCCCACGACTCTCTCAGGCTCGGCGTCCCCACGACAGCACCCACCTTCGGCGGCGCTCCGGGCTTGGCTTCGGAGGGCCGGAGTGAGAGCAGTGTGAGCAGCAGGGCGCAGGCCAGCAGCTGGGAGAGATGCATGGTGCCGCTGGGGTCTAGGGGCGCAGACGGGCGGCAGCGAGGGCGCGCGGGTCGGCGGGCAGACCAGCAGGCTGGTGCGGAGCAAGCTGGCTGGGCTGCAGGGCGAGCAGGCTCCCAGTGCTGCGCGGCGCCGGCTGGGTGCGCTCTGAGCCCGTGACTCCCCTCGCGCCTTTATAATCCAACCTGCCGCTGATGTCATCCTCCCGCCCACCGGGCTGCCCGGGCCAATGACACCACGCACGCGGCCGCGCCGAGGGCCGGGAGGGGGCCGCGGGGGCTCCCCTCCCTTATCCCACCCCGGAGGGATCCCGCGGTTCTGCCGACTCGCTCCAGGCTGCACTTGGAGCTGCAGAGCGGCGCGCACAGGGGAACTCCATTTGCAGCGAGCGCGCGCCCTGGCCTGATGAGCATCCGTGCGCCTGGTGCCCTGTGCACCCACTGGGTCCTCAGCACACTCACTCTACCTAGAAGGGATCTATAGCTCTCTTTGCAGGTGCAAAGACAGGCTCAGAGGAATGAAATTACTTGCCCAAAGTCATACAGGCAGAAAGTTGGCGCTGCCCGAAATCCACGCAGCCCTGCTGGTCGCCAAACTCTTCCCTGGGCACCTGACAGCCGCGGGATGGGCATTGCAACTCTGCCTCTCACCTGCTCGCCAGGGCAGGAGCGCAGACCACAGAGATGTCGTTAGGTTGGGGAGGTAGAGGATGGGGTTGGAGGACTGGGGTGGGAGGCACAGGGAGAGCGGGGTTCGCCTGGGCCGCGGCGGGGAACGCAAGTCTTCCGCACTGGAGAGTGCAAGCGTGTCGCCAACCTGAGTGTTTGAGCGCGAGGCGGGAACGAGGGGACTGCGAGCGCGGAACCAAGATATTCATGTTCATGCGTGTGCTCGGCGGCATCGTGTGCTCGCCAGTTATGGCTCTAGGTTCACGTTCAGCCGGTTTCGGCTACACAGAACGTCCCCGGGTCTGACTCCGCTGGTGAACTCGGTCTGTGGGAACAATGCGCACCTGACCTTGCCTGCACCCACGCGAGGATCCGCTGCTGGGAGAAGCCCGCTCCAGTATCCTGTGCACTTTCACAGGCTGGGGAGGGAGCTTCCTAACCAGCGGCCCGGTCCAGCCTCTGCCAGCCGTGACAGGTGGTCAACTTCCCACTGTTGACTGTAGAAAGGTCCTCGTGGCTCTCGGGACACGGCCACATATCCCTACCACTCACAAACTTGCTCTCCTTGCACTGGGCTTCTTGGTCCCTTGGGCACTAAGGAGTGTGGTGGGCACTTGGGCACTGCGGTGTGGGCCGCAGAGGCGGAGAGCCCAGATCCCCCAAACTGAGTGAGGTGCACGAATCTATGACTGGCTGCTGACGAGCAGGACGCAGGCTGGAGAGAGAACAAATGCTGCCGCAGGAGTGCAGTGGCTGTCCCCAGGCGTGAAGAGGATTCGCGGAGACAGTAGCCCAGACGAGCTTTTCCAGGGAGAGAAAGCTGTGCCTGAGGCAGGAAGGCGGCTGGAGTGAAGAGGGGTTTTGAGCACCAGGTTCCTCCAAACCTCCCTCTTCCCTCCGTGGTAGTGAGCCTGGTCCCAGAGCTGCTAAGACAGCGGCATCGTGGTCTGCTCTGTAGGCCCTTTGCTCAGGCTACCCCTTCCCACTCTCAAACCCTGAGGCACAACATTGGAGCAACCACTCCACAGGTCCTTTTGCTTAGGAAACAGCTAACACCTGAGGTCTGAGTTTGGGGCAGCAAAGTTTCCTGATCTCCAGGAAGATCCAGACATCAACAGGGCACCTTTTGTGGGTTCTGGTGAGTTGACTCACCACCTCCACGCAGCCCCCCAATTCCTCTCTGGGCTAACACCCACAGAGTGGCACCACTCTTTCATTTGAGGAGAAAGGAAGAGAGGAACGAGAAGGCGGAATAGGGAGGGGTATCCAGGTGGGCTGTGAAAGTTCCCTCTGCTTTTTGCCTGCTGTGCAAAGAAGGATGTTACTATTTGGAACTTCTCTGACACTTACTTTCTTTATACCTGTTTAAAGAGCCAGGCAGAGCCACACAGATTGACTCCAGAGTCAAGCACTGGGCTGGTTTCCAGGGGCCAGCAGTACATCCTCGAAGGCCTTGTTAAGGGCATGTTGGAAGCTTCTGCTGTTCATGGCTGCTTCCTTCTGCCTGAATGTCCTTAGGCTGGTCCTTCCTGTCTTCTATGTCCCTGGATACATTCTCATCCAGATGATTGCCCAGTGACTATCTAGGTCTCCTCTCTGTTTGAGCTTTGAGGCTAAATTAGTAAAACTGACACCCCCAACCTACTGTGGCAGAGCCAATTCCCTGGACTCACCTTCCCCTCTTTGGAAGGGAAATCTGGTGAGCTGCCACTCCTGACCACTGGGCGGTGGTCATCTGCAGAGGGAGGCTTCCCCAGTGCAGGCTGTGGATCAGCTTCTACTTAGCTGGGGCCTGGGAGGTGGGGTGGGTAAGAGTCAGAGGCCCGGGCTGGAGGGACTGCCGGGAGGTGCGTCATCAGCACGTAACTGTCTTGGAGATGAAGATTTCCCCTCTCCCTTCGCTTTCCTTGCCTGGGGAACTGCAGAGGAGGCCCTCTCTTCCTCCTGAGCCTAGAGTTGGAACTCAGGCCCCTTCTTGCTGCTTTTCCCTCATGAAGTCTGCTGCTTCTGCCCCCAGGCCCCAGGGGCATGGCCTGGGAAAGTCGAGCTCACTGAGCAGCTGAATATGAGCTATTCAAATCATTTTATTGACTGCTCAATTTTAAATTTCCTCCTAATGGCAAAAGAGGGAGATAAGGTCCCAAGGCCCTGGTAATTCTGTAAGGAATCCTGTCATTTTCACTGATCTCGCTGATCTCCTGGTATCTCCTGAGCATCCCTGAAGCCTGCAGGGTTCCATCCCAGCCAGGAAGAACCCCCCAGGAGAGAGACATGAGCTTTGTAGGCTGAAAAGGACAATGACAGGGAAGGGGACAGCTCAGGCTGAGGCCACCCAAGGAGGGCTCCTCCTCCAGCCTGGACTAGCAGGGTGGGCTTCCTGGAGAAGGAAAAGTCTGTGCTGAGCCCGGAAACACAGGAAGAGAAGGGAAGAGAAGAGGAAAACCTCGATAGAAAACCAGGCTAACAGTGGAATGTACTAGAGTCAGGCCTAGAGGGGTTCTGTTTGAGAAAAACAAAATGAGACACCTCACTAAAGGCAATGCAAAGGGCAGGGGAGGCCGGTGAGACTGCAGAACCCCACGTGCCCAGACCTAGGGAGGGTGGAGTGCTTCAGGCAGGGGTGCCCAGAGGCAGGCTGGGGAGAGGCAATTCTGAGGTCGGTGGTGTTCTGGAGGCAGGGGGTGTGATGGAGAGAGGGGAACCTGCTGAGCTCTTGGGGGTGGGAAGGGCAAGTGAGCTTATTGGGGGTGCCTGAAGATGAGGCAAGGGAAAGGGGGTCAGCTAGGCATAGGGGGAGTGGGAGGGCGCAGGAAGTGGGAGACAGAGCCAGCCTGAAACATGCAGAACCTTCAGTGTCAGAGGGTTGCATGGGTGAGTCCAGGGTGTCGGCTCTGCCACAGTAGGCTGGGGGTATGCAAGGCCTTCAGCATCGGAGAGATGCATGGACGGGACCGTTTTCTCCCTTCTGGTCCACTGAAGGGCGGGACCTCATTCTGTGGGTCCCTCTTCACTCTTTCTCTCCTCCCAGAAGGACAAGGTGCGACTCTCACACCTACTGGAGAGGGGCCCTTCCTTGGGACAGGTGATGTCTGGCCCGGAATCAGGACGTGATGGAAAATGAGAGTGGGCCCTGGTCAGGATGCCTGGTGGGAGAAAGGTGTGTGGAAGGGCTGCTGGGAGGCTGGGGAAGGAGCAGCTAAGACAGGACTGTCCAGCCTAGGTCCCCAGGAGGGAGGAACAGGAGCCCGGCGAAGCAGCGCCCCCTCCTGCCCCAGGGCTGCAGGGGAGGGCGCTCAGGCACACTGGAGAGGAGGATTGCAGAGCCGCGCATCTGTTTCTCTGCAATTATTTATCCCAGGGCCTCCTTCCAGCTGTATAATTTCTCAAAGAAGACACTAAACAGGCAGTGAGTGGGTCTTGAGGCCAGGCAGGGAAATTGCTGCGGGACCCTGGCCAAGTCCTGTCTCTGCGTGGGGCCCTTAGTTTCATCACCTGTAATTAGAAAAACACCGTCTTTGCCTTCTAGACAGGGCAGAGTGAATCTGGGGCCTGATAAGAGGCTTCCAACCTCTCCCTGGCCAAACACAGCAGGAAGCAGCTGAGGCGGAAGAGAGATCTGAATGTCACTGCACGTATACTTGTACTTCTGGGTGGGAGGACCCCTGCAGTCTCCGAAATTCCCCAGGACTGTTTAGTGGTGCAGTCCCTCAGAGGACACAGAGGCTGGGCCATGGCCAGGTCTCCTTGAGCTTGGTACCTTCCTCCAGGAGTCCTGCACCCATGGGGCTGGACTGGAGTACCAGAGGAGCCAGAGGCCAAGGAAGCGTCATTCATCCTTCACGGGCCAGAGATTCCAGGAAAGCTTAACCTCGTTGTACCATGAGTCTTTGACCCCAAGACACCCCCATCTGATGAGCCAGCTGCCCTCCTTCCCTTTCCCAGGGGCCCTGCCAGCACCTGCTCCAGATGGCCTCCAACCCCACTGTCCTACGCAGTCCATGACGTCAGAGTTCATTCCTCCTTTCCCCTGCTTGCCAAAAAGAAAAGACAGGTCCTCCACAAATAGGCTCAGTTCCCTGGGGGAATCAACAGCTCTCCATCTGGCTGTCAACGGGCAGGTGAGTGGGGCAGGGACTGAGGCCTCAGCCCTGAGAAAGTGAGCAGGGTAGTGAGCAAGAGGGCCTCCCCAGCAGAAAAGAGCTCAGCACCCCAACCTCAGCTCAGAGCCTGCACCAGATGTTTGCAGAGCAAACGGATCTGCTGCCAAATTCTTGCCCTAGGGACAAGAGATTGTCTTTTGGTCATGTGGAGCTTTTCCAAGCAGTGAGCCACTCTTTTCCTGCTCCGGGGGTCCCTGCAGTGAGCCCACCTTCTTGGTCTGTACCTGGAGGAGAATGTCTATTGTCTGGTCTTGAAGACCTTGTTTCGGATTTGAAAGTGGCCACAGTCTCCAAGGAGAAGG